AGATGGCCGGGTGGTGGTGGCGCACGCCTTTAATCCCAGCACTCCGGAGGCAGAGGCAGGCGGATCTCTGTGAGTTTGAGGCCAGCTTGGTCTACCAAGTGAGTTCCAGGAAAGGCGCAAAGCTACACAAAGAAACCCTGTCTCGAAACCCCCCGCTCCCCCCAAAAAAAAGGAAGAAAGAAAGAAAAAAAGAAAAAAATTTAAAAACTTGAAATCATAAAGGGCTTCCTACTAGTGTGAAAACCTCTAAGACATAATTAGATAAATGTAATAAAGGAATAAAAGAAAAACATAGCAATATTTTATACATTAAGGTGAAGACAAAATACTAGCAAATGTAGAGGAAGGGGAAGAAACAGAGGGAGCAAAAAGGAAAAAGAAACTCAAACCGATACAAATAAACATCGTCCCAAACTAGAAAAAATGCATAAACAAATGTATATTCATTCATAAAGAAGAGTAACAAGGAAAACACAGTTTAACAAAGTACAATCCAGTAAAAGAATCACTAATTGTCTTCAAGCAGTGATTATCACAAAAACTTTCACTTAAAAGGTTAATGCTCGCCGGGCAGCGGCGGCGCACACCTTTAATCCCAGCACTCGGGAGGCAGAGCCAGGCGGATCTCTGTGAGTTCGAGGCCAGCCTGGGCTACCAAGTGAGCTCCAGGAAAGGCGCAAAGCTACACAGAGAAACCCTGCCTCGAAAAACCAAAAAAAAAAAAAAAAAAAAAAAAAAAAAAAAAAAAAAAAAAAAAAAGGTTAACGCTCTAAGCTTCATAGTATGATTAGATGATTGATACAGACCAGTATTTGAAGTGTTTTAGCGGTACTGTTTCAAGAACAACAACAGTTAATCTTCTAAAGAGCTCCCTTCTGAGCCCCTGAACTGGAGTCTGCTGCTTACATGCATGGAGCGAAGGAGGACCAGATGAACTTATGGACGCTTATGCTTTCCGTAGTCCACTTTGCTGCTGCCTTTCTTTGGAGCAGTGTCTGATGTCTTCACGGGACTCATTATTCTTCTTTGTTCTCTGGTCTCTGCTAGTCACTCATAGCTTTGTATTCAGTGGTCTATCCATATTCTCTCATCACCCAAAGACTCTCCAGATTGTGCCCAGTGAGTTGGTTAATACCTTAGCAGAGGGGTGTCTCCCAGGTCTATTAGGAATATGGGAAGAAACTACCACACTGGTCAATCCAAGGAGGACCTGTTTTCATACTTTCAAGACAACTAAGTAGAAATCTCCCTGCTCGAGGAATGCCTCTGTGTGTATCATGTACATACTGGGATGGATATCAGAGTTCTCAGGTTCATAGTCATCGATGAGGTTGGTGGTCCACTGGCCTCAGGCTCAGAACTATCAAAGTCCAGAGTAATTCCCTCTTGATGAGGCATGTCCCCAGCCACTGAGGCCGGAGCTATCTCTTTTGTGCAAGTCCTAGCCTAAGCCTGTTTCCTGCCCCCTATCTATCAGCTGCTTAGTGTCTAGCCTTCCTACTCTTCACAACTGTTTCTCTGGGCCTTTCTTCACTCAAGCACAAACTGAAGCAGGCAAAATGGAGCTGGCCTTACTTGTTGAGGTTCCCTGATCTCAGGCCCCTAGATTTTTCTCTCTCTGCACTATTAGCCTGACAGCATGGGATTTCTTTCTGTAGCTCCTGCACTTTCCGGCGGAGTCACTATCTCACCAACTCCTGAAGTGTTTGTGGACTGTGAGGGCTGGGGGCTTGTCCTAAGGCCAGGGATGCTCAGTTTCATCCGGATTACCTTTGGCGGTGGATTTGGTTCCCCTTCCCTTCCAGAGAACTGTGCAGGGAAGGCTGTGTTCCACTTTCTTCCCTACCTCGTCCATCTGACCTCTTCTGATAGCCGTTCACTTCCTTCATGGATCTCTGAAGCCCTTCCTCTTTTTGAGACACATTCCTCATTCTCTTCCTCCTTTTCCTTGTTCTTTTTTTTTTTTTTTAAAACAAGACAAGGTTTCTCTGTGCAGTTTTGGTGCCTATCCTGGCCTGGAACTCACAGAGAACCTCCTGCCTCTGCCTCCCAAGTGTGGGGATTAAAGGCCTGTGCCACCACTGCCTGGTGTTCTTGTTCTTATTCTGATTCTGATTCACAACTTGACAGGCTTATGTAGAGGCAGCCTTTAGTCCATCATCTTATTTATTTATTTATTTACTTATTTATTTATAAATTTATTTATTTATTTATTTATTTATTTATTTATTTATTTATTTATTTATTATACAGTGTTCTGCCTGCATGCCAAGAGAGGGCTCCAGATTTCATTACTGATCATTGAGAGCCACCATGTGGTTACTGGAAATTGAACTCAGGACCTCTGGAAGAACAGCCAGTGTTCTTAACCGCTGAGCCATCTCTCCAGTCCAGGATCATCTTTCATATATACCTTAGATTTAACTACAATAATTGCAGGGTCTCACTACATAGTCCTGGCTCTCCTAGAACTTCCTTGCAGACCAGACTGGCCTCGAACTCACAGAGATCTGCCTGTCTCTTCTTTCCAACTAAGATTAAAGGTGTGCCACCACATCCAACCAATAATTCTTATTTTAAAAGGAATACAAAGTCCCAAACAAATTTTAGAACTCAAATAAAAGAGGGGTATGCTTTAAGTACATTTTACTTCCTAATGTATCTTCATAGCAGTTGGGGCCTCCAAAAAGAAGACCTGAACACATGCATGCACATGCATAAGAGGCTTGATAAAGGTTGAGGACTCAGTATCTGTGGAAGGCAAAGAAGGATGAGCTAGGAGGAGGGAGAAAAAATGCAAGCATCTAATTGTGCATGGGAATATTATTTTCAGATTCCCAAAAGCCTCATTCTGCCCTCCCACCCTGCATAGTAGTTGAATGTGACCCCTATAGTCCGAATCCAGATAAAAAGGCCCAAGACAATATTTGCTATAAGGATTCTGGAAAACACTTTGTTTTCTTACTATAAGGAAAAGATAAATATTACAACCTCGTCTTTCCTGACTTTTCTATTCCTTCCTTATACACAAATATGATATTACAGCTGCAGCAGCCTTTTAGCAACTAAGAGGAAAAAGTCAACAGAAATTCTATTTTTTTCTGATATTGTTGTGCAGTTGAGTAAAGCTATAAATCTGCCTTTCTGTTTCTTGCTTTATAAATGAAATAAGCCCCAATTGTTTTTTGTTTGTTTGTTTGTTTTTTGTTTTGTTTTTTTTTTTTCTGAGACAGGGTTTCTCTGTGTAGCTTTGTGCCTTTCCTGGAACTCACTTGATAGCCCAGGCTGTCCTCGAACTCACAGAGATCCGCCTGCCTCTGCCTCCCGAGTGCTGGGATTAAAGGCGTGCGCCACCACCGCCCGGCCCCAATTGTTTAAGTAGTAAATTTGAACATTCTGTTGCTTACAACAAAACACAATCCAAATGGATCTCCGATGGGATGATGACTCTACTGCAGATTCTGTTGTAATGGGTATATGTTGTATGTTGTACATGTATGTGTATGTTTATCAAACTGTAGTTTGTTTACAATGTTTGAAAATACCCAAACTCTACTGTCTTGAGATTTCATATTGTATCTCAGCATTATTGGTGTTACCAGGTAACCTGGAGATGTTCTGAAAACCCCATGGGAATAGGAGGTCCCCAGAAATCTACAAAGATACCCCCGCTATAGTCTACTGGCAATGGTCGAGAGTGCCTGAGCTGACCTACTCTGGTGATCCGATGGCTGAACACCCTAACTGTCATGATAGAACTCTCATCCAGTGACTGGTGGAAGCAGATGCAGAGACCACAGCCAAACCCCAGGTGGAGCTCCAGGAGTCCAATCGGCGAGAAAGAGGAGGGAATATATGAGCAAGAGATGTTCTGGTATAAACAAATCTAGCTAATCAAAATTTCTGCCTCAGAAAAACAACTTCTTATTAAATAATTTTACCAAAAATATACTTCTTGAAACTTTGCCCACTAACAAGGAATGACCTGTGAAACATTACTAAGCTTGTGTCCTAATCCATAGTTCCTTAACTCATGTCCTGTTGCTGTGATTGCTTTGGGAAGCAGTATTCTGGGAGCAACGACATTCAGTTGAATCAAATAAAAAGAGCAATGATTTCCATTTTCTCATGCCAAAGAGAGATTACTCCAGCAAGGAAATGAGCTCTGGAAATACTGACGAGGTGTGGTGCTGTGTTTTCGGATGTGGTCAAAGCCCAGCAAGAGAAACTTGCATTGAGTGTGTTTGTGGCATTGTTTGCTGGTCACAGTTGACATCCTGTCTCTCTCCACCAGTTATTTTTATCTGCCTGCAATCAGTCCCCCTGCACTGTCATGCTCACTTGGAAGTCTACATACTAAAGCAGAGACACATGACCGAGATACGCTGCTTCCTACACTTGAAGAGGGAGAAAAGTGACGTTTATGACTCATTTAGGCAAATCCCCAGTTGCCTGTGAGGTGTGGTATCTGTAGATCACGGTCTGTCAAGAGCATCCCCTCCAAGCTTTCTCTAGTGTGAATTAATCACGTATTACTTTAGTCTTTCCTCTGCTTCTTTTTAAATGTGTCCCATTTTGACTTGTGCTTATTTATTCAGGTATTCTCTTGGGATATCTCACTCATTTGAAAAAGTAAAATCTTTCAGAAAGTGAACTTGTGGTTGCTTCTCTGTCTTCCATGTCTTGGACTGTGCTATTATATCTGTAGCTAAAAAAAAAAAAGAAAAGAAAATCTAAAATCCATCTTGCTTCTTTGGCAAATCTCCCATCTCCATGTCGTAATATAGAAGACCTGAGTGACTGGTTCCCTCATATCTCATCTCTGCTGCCCCCTCCAGACTGAGAATCATTATTTCTTGCCCACCTTACTGCAAATAGGCTCTCTTCTTCTAACACTGATGGGATGGGCCTTGTGATCCTTTCCCCACACAGTCTCCAACATCATGTTCTCAAAACAAAATTATACTGTCACATATTTTCTTTTCTTTTCTTTTTTTTTTTTGGTTTTTCGAGACAGGGTTTCTCTGTGTAGCTTTGTGCCTTTCCTGGAACTCGCTTTGGAGACCAGGCTGGCCTCGAACTCAC